CCCAGGAAGTGTGAGGATTCCATGGCATGGAGGACGCAGGTAAAGGCCACCTGGACAGCTGGTCCAGGTCAGGAAGGGGGACTGCAGGGGACATGGGGCCTCTAGTGACTGGGGGGCTGTTGAAGGTCTAGAGCATCAGCTGGGTCTGGGACGGTCTCGGGAGGATGCGGCTGTGGTGGAGGGTGCAGCCACAGAGGGTTGGATGAGCCCCTGACCTTGGGAGACATGGAGGGAGCGCCCCATACCTGGACAGATCAAGAGCAGGGGTGTTTCTTGGAGATTCTGGGCAAGCACCAGGGTGCTGCTCTTGGGAACTGGCCATGAGCAGGCGGCTGCCCCGAAGGCCGGCGCTTTCTCCCACTAACAGCGTCTGAGGGACCAGGGAGGATTGTCCTCATCCCAGCTGACCTCCTCCCCCTCCCCCAGGCTTAGCTGACCTCAGCTCCTGCGGTGTTGGGGCTTTGATCCAGGAACTCTGAATCTTAGCGCTGATCCAGACCCAGCCCTCCCCACGAGGAGCCCCCTTCCTGGTAAGGAGACAGCTCTGTGACAGGCCTTCCCAGCACAGCCTAATGAACGTTAGGGTTTGGGGTCGCTCTCTGCCCTGGGAGTCTGAGAAGGCTTCCTGGAAGAAGGGGCTCTGATGCTGGGTATTGAAGGTTGGATAGGACAAGGGGATTTCTAGGTGGAGGGAACTGCCTGTGCCTGGAGACCTGCCTGAGGGAATCATGACCCCTGGGGAAGAGGAGCCCAGGGTGAGGTGGGACAGGCAGATGCACCCCGGCCAGCAGGGCTGCAGCTGAGCCCATGTGGTCTTGATGGGAAACCCCCTCTTCATGACTCCATCGCCTGGGGGAATGCCTCTCCCCGTAGACCCTCTCTCCAGCACTTCCGTGTGTGCGTGTTACCATTTATTGCTATTTGAGACAGAGTCCTTCTTTCTCTTTCAGATGAGGAAAGGGCCCCTGGGGGGGTTGGGGCGCGAACAGGGGTCACTTCAGGAGGAAGCTGAGACCCTGAGCCGGTCACCTGCCTTCCCTGAAGCAGGCCTCGCCGGTGTCCGGTGGGTGTCCTCCTCTCAGCCTTGTGAGGATTCAGCCACGTGCTGTGTGTGCTCTTTCCTGCGGGCACAGCCCAGGGCGAGCCTGGCCCAGGTAAGGAGGGCCAGGCGCGTGGAGCCCACAGCACTGCCGTGAGACCTGGTTCTGTGGCCTCTCTGACCCAATGTGGTGTCCCTGGCAGGGTTGTGAGGAGGAGCTCAGACCTGGGCTGTGGGGATAACCTGCGCGAGCAGAGGTCCCCGCGACGGATTTTGTCTTCCTGGGTGCCATCTAGCCAAAGACTGAGGCTCTGGTCCCCAGATGCCGCAGGAGGTTCCCAGCGGGGCCGTCACAGACTGAGCTGAGCACTGGGCGAGGCCACACAGTGGGTGTGTTGGGCCAGCTTCTCTTCCCACCCCAGCCTCGGGGCAGCAGAGGCCCTGCATACGATGGCGATGGCGTCAGAGCACAGACCTCCACACCACAGAGGGCAGCCATGAGCGGGACTCCCAGACCAACCTGTGTCCTCCTTCCAGCAGGGGGCCTCGGGCAGATGCAGGGACTGCTGCTCCCTGAGCCCATCTTACCTTTCTGTGAAATGGGTAGATGAGTGTTCCTGGCAGAGTTGTGTGCAGTTGAAAGTGACCAGCTGGGTGCCCTGGCCAGGTGGAGGTGGGCACCCACCAAGCTTCCTGGGTAGGGGCACCGTGCCTGCTCGCCGCCCTCTTGGATCATGGTCCCTCCTGGGACGGGCTTCTGGCCCAGCCTGGGAAGGCAGGAGCTGGAGGTGAGAAAGGAAGTGCCCAACAATGCTGGCTGCAGCAGAGGCGGGCCGGGTCGAGGCCTGCCGTGGGTGATTGATGGGGCAGGAGTCCCTGCGGTGGAGTTTTAGGGGGTGCTGTGCTGTGGGCCTGCGACAGGGCTGGCTGACTTCCTGGAGGAGGTGGATCTTAGGCTGTGAGGTGGGCCTGCTGGGTCCAGTGACCAAGTGACCATTTTCCCTCCCTGAGCCCGTCATCTATCTTATCAGTCACTGCCACAGGAGCAGTCCCCTCTGCCAGGAGGTCCCACCCTGCAGGGTCACAGCAGACCAGCTCCCCTCTGGGCCCAGAGCTGCACGTCAGGGCCTGATGAATAGGTGCCCCTTTCTCTCCCCCACGAGCCTTGTGGGGAGCTGGGGGCAGGTGGACTCCAGGCTGAGCGAGAAGGATATGCGTCTGCCTGTGAGTCAGAGAGCAGAGGCCCACTAGCCCTGCCCCATCATAGGGCAGTGGTCAGAGCCTGGCCCTCAACTCCACTCCCAGAAGCACCTGGGAGATCTAGGAGTAGCCACTGGGCCTCCCTGGACACCCACCCCCCCGCCCCCCCGCAGTGAGCTTGGGCTGCAGGGGTGGGTGCGGCCCCTGCTTCAGGTCCTCCCACTTAGAGAATCCCTGGGGAGGTGGGGAGGGTCAGGGCTGCCCAGCTGCGGCCAGAACGCCTTAGCCATGAGCTTCCCGTAGTCCTCCATTCTGTCAGGAACCTTCCCAGTGAGGCCTGGGCCAGTTGGGGCCTGCTTGTGGGCAGGATTGTGGGGAAGGAAGAGGGGGGTTCTGCAGCCACAGGTTCCGGGGTTTGGCTGCTGTGGGGTCTGGCCTGGGCCCGCTGGGCTCCTGGGCTGTGGAGCGGAGGCCCCTCTCCCTGGGCAGGCCCTGTCTGCTGAGTGTGCCTCTCTCTCCTCTCCCCAGCCGGCTCGTTCAGGTGCCCCAGGCAGGAGGCGGTGCCGCAGCCTGCCAGCTCCTCCCTATGTAGAATACTTCCTGGGTGCCCGCTCCACCCGCCCCAGCTCCCAGCATCTTACCTGGCAGGGCTTTCCGGGCTGGGCCAGAAAGCAGCCTGATCTTGATCGGTGGGCTGGGTTTTCAGCCCTGGACAGCGGGCCTGGGGGCTCTGGGTCTCAGCCCTTCCGAGGTGGGTGATTTCCCCGGCAACTGAGGCAGGGCATCCCTTGCACTGAGGTATGGAGGGAGGCCCAGGGTGGAATCTCAACAGAGTGGATGGCAGACCCAGCCACCACATTGGTCAGTGCCGTGATAGGAAGGAGGCTGGGCCGTTCGAGCAGGATGTGGAGGGTTTGTCACCGGGAGAAGCCTGTCAGCACCTGGCGTGGCAGCAGCAGTGCGTGTGTGCGGTGTGGTCTCCCAGAGAGGGTTCTGGAGGAGCAGAGGTACCACAGCTGTCTGTGCATGCCAGTGGCCTTGGGCCTCGAGTGCGTCCTGGGGAGGTTTGGCTGGGTTCTAACCTGACTTTAGCCTGCCTCACAGCTTCCCTCTGCTCCGCTCCCCTGGGAGCGTTCAGGAGTCCTGCCTGAGGGCATTGACTCGGCTCCAGGGATCTGAGCCCTGCTCTGCGCCAGCTTCATGCTGGGCATGGGGGAGCAGCTGGGGGAGCCCAGCTGGGTCTCTTGGGTTGGGCTGTGAGGTCCCCAAGAGCTGGGGTCCCAGTTCCAGCCCTGATTGCCATGCAGTGCCTAGCACAGGACAGCGTGTCAGGGAGGGCTGTTGCCATGGAGAAGTATAGGGGCTAGAGGGTGGCCTCTGTCAGCCTGTGAAGCTCCCTGGGCAGGGTCTGTTCGGCTCATCTCTGGATTCCTGGGTCCACACATGGTGGACCTCAGGCTCTCTTACCACAGGTGGTTATGGAAATGGGTTACGGGGGGTATGTGCCCTACAGGGAGGTCTGTGGTGGTCCTGCCAGGCCTCACTGACCTGAGAGAGGGTCTTTGGCGAGACAGGGAGAGATGATGGCCTGAGCCTTGGACCCGGAGGCCAGGAGCTGAAAGGCAGAGGGTGTTGGGGAAAGGAGGTCTGGGTGAGCTAAGGCCAGGGTTTGGACTGTGGACGTGAGTAGGGGCGAGGCCTGCCCAGCCTCTCCCGGGGTGGTCTTTGCAAGCCTGGCTGGTCCTCTGGCTTTTCCTGTGCCCCGGCTGTGGGAGGAGGCCCAGTGGGGCACTGCTGTGTGTCCTGTTGACTCTGGAAAGGGACGTTTGCCTTTCTGAGGTGGACTCTATCGAGCACCGGAGCAGATGCCGTCTAAGGCGCTTTCCACGTGAAGTGCCGAGGAAACTGAGGCTCAGAGAGGGGAAGTGACTTGTCTAGGGCCACGTGGTAGGTGAGCAGCGGGCCCAGGTCCAAGATCAGGTCTGTCAGAGCCAGTCCTGGTCCAGGTTCCATTTGGGCATCAGGTGGAGTGAACTACCTGTGCTCTTTGTGCCTGTGCTGGACCCACTGACCCTGGCCTGACCCCTGAACCCCAGCCTGTGGACCCTGTCTGAGTCTCAGCTCTTGGGCACCGTGCAGAGATGGCTGCATCCCTTCTGTTTTGAGCCTCATGGTCTGTAAGAAAGGAGCAGCAGAGTTCCGGTGCTCCTGCATTGCCTGGGGCCAGTGGGCGGAGTGGGATGGTGTACGAGAAAGGGTTCTGTCGGCAGTGATGTCCTGGACAAATGTTGGAACAGGGCAACTGCTTCTGTTTTGGATGGGGACTGGAGCAGAGGGGAGGGGATGGGATGGGGAAAGCACCAGACCCCCAGAAGGCTGCCTGGGTCGGGTCCGCTCTTCTCTGTGGGTCTCGGGCTGCTGAGAAGCCAGGTCCAGCCCTACCCTGCACCCAGTGCCGACTTTCAACTCCTTACCTCACCGCCGGCCCCCCTGGCCACCACCCCCCCACCCCCCACCACCACTTAGGGGCTGAGCCCTTTACCCAGAGTCCTGCCTTGGGGCAAAGGGACTGGCTGGTCTCTGTGACTCCAGCACCATGATGTCGCCTCCCCCCAACTCTGCCTTACGACAGAAAGGACCGTGGGAGTTGAGGGGAGTGATTGCCTCCAAATGGGGGGTTCTGGGCAGGCTTCCTGGAGGAGAAGGGAAGGGAGGGGACAGGGCAGGCCTGACCTGACGCACCCTGCTGCCCTCCCCCCAGGTCCCATCTGATGCCGAGGCTGAAGGAGTCTCGCTCGCACGAGTCCCTGCTCAGCCCCAGCAGCGCGGTGGAGGCGCTGGACCTCAGCATGGAGGAGGAGGTGGTCATCAAGCCAGTGCACAGCAGCATCCTGGGCCAGGACTACTGCTTCGAGGTGGGTCCTGCCGCAGGGGCGGGGCGGGTACTGGTGTCCTCTTCCCGCGAGGCCAGGTCTCCTCCAGACGCCCGCCTGGAGTGCTGCGTGGCCTCTGCAGGGGCCAGGCTCTTTGGGACAGCGGCCAGAATCTGTCATAGCTTTTGCCTCCCAAGAGACCAAGTGGAGCTGGGAGACGGGGGCTTCATTCCTGCTCTGTGGCCTCCTTGGAGACAGACCAGCACTGTCCCCCATGCTGGGAAGTGCAAGAGGTCCAAGTGGGTGGAAGGGAGTTCAAGGCGTATGTGGAATGGCTCAAGCCGCAGAGCTGGTCTCGAGGCCTGCTCACCCCTCCTGCAAAACCACTCCAGTGCATTGTAGGGCAGTGGGGAGTGTCCCCTTTTCTGGCCCTGTCCCTGCCTCTGCGTGGTGAAAGCCAGAATCTTTCCTGCCCCGGCGTTCTGTGACCCAAGGTTTGAGAGCAGAGGGTCAGCCACCCGACCTGACAGGGCTGTTACCGAGGATCACCTGTCCAGTGCTTCCCTGTAGATGGGGAATCTGAGGCCCAGTGAGGGCAAGACGATGTCAAAGGTCAGCCTACAAGCCTGAGGCCAAGCCAGAGCCAGGGTAACTGATGTCGCAGGTATTGCTGGGAGTTCCTAATTGCTTCTCTAATTATTCATGTTCTCTTCCCACCTCTGTTTCTGGGAAGCTTCCCACCCCCAACAGTCTTGCATAATTAGGAGAGCTTTCTGACAGAGGCACAACCCTGGGAATAATAGGGCAACCTCCCGGCACCCCCAGCTCCAGGGGAAGAGGAGGGTGGTGCCTGGCATCTGCCCTAGCCCTGTGCCCACTGGGTGCCGTTTCTGGTTCAGGACTCCTGGCCCAGCTGGGCTCCTTCTGGCCTCCGACTTCTCTGCCTGGGGCGGGCTGAAGATGGTGCCTGCCCACTGGTCCACAGCAGGGGGTGCTGTGGCTTCTGAGGCCCGTGAATGGCTAGATAAGGCGTCTGGTTCCCTGGTAGAGACCTCGGCGTGCTGGGGACAGCAGGAACAGGGCAGGAACAGCTAGGGCTGGGCTTGTTCACCCGGAGGAGATCAGAAGATGGGCAAGTCAGACAGGGAGGGGAGGGTAAGGGTTCCAGGCAGGACCCCAGGGCCCAGCACACCCAGACAGCCCAGTTCTCAGTGCTCTAGTCTGGCCCCAAGTAGGTTAGCCTTCTGTGACCGCCATTGCTGTCACTGTCACTTGGCAAGAGAAGCGTCATCGGCAGGTGTCCGCTGAGGACCAAGGTGACCCTCGTGCCAACCCCGTGGTTGTCTGCTAGGTGCCTGTGGCTCCACCGCTAGAGGGAGACTTGGGTGAAGCCTTGCTCTCTGACTCATGCGGGGGGCCCGTGCCCTCTGCCTCCCACCATCTCCAGGAGAACGAGGTTGGACTCAGAAAGATGCTTTCCTGTGGTCAGAGGGCACTGAGGCAGGGGTGAGGAGCCAGGACCAGGCACCAGCTGGCACGGGGCTGGGCCACCCTCCTGTCACTGTCTTGCTCTGGGACCACAGGTCTCGGTGCACCACCCGCAAATGTGAAATATGGGGGTCGTTGTTCTGCGTCCTGCCTGGGGCTGAGGTGCGGTCAGACCTGGCAGCCGAAACTCCCCCAAGTCCTGGAGGTCCTCCATCACGCGGCTTTGCTGCCTTCCCCTCCCCGTGACGCTGTCCTGCCCGTCCCCCACAGGTGACGACGTCGTCGGGAAGCAAGTGCTTCTCCTGCCGGTCAGCGGCCGAGCGGGATAAGTGGATGGAGAACCTGCGGCGAGCGGTGCATCCCAACAAGGTGGGCCTGTGTCCACTGTCCCCAGAGCATGGGGGGTGGAGGCTAGACTCAGAGCAGAGCACAGACGCCGACGTGAGGGAGAAGACGGAGGGGTCTCTGGTGTGGCCTGGGCTTGGGGGTGCAGGCAGCCTGCGTGTAGGCAGGGCCCGAGTGGGCCGTAGTGCTGGACTCTGAAAGAGGCTGACCCGTGCTGGGGGCCTCAGCCTTCGAAGCTGCACACTCTAGACGCTGGGCCAGAGAACTGAGCACTGGGGTTTTGGGTGCTGGTGTCCATCTGCCTGGAGCTCTTGACCCTCTCCCCCACCCCGGCTGAATCCTGCTCATCCCTTCGAGTCCAGCTTCGCTTTCTGTTCCCTCCTCCAGGCGAGCGCCGCCGGCCCAGGCTGGTGCCCTCCTGTGTTCCTGCTGCCCCCAGGCTTCTCCCAGAAGGTTCCTGGGACCCCGACTGTCATCACTTGCTTCTGTGTCTGCCTCCCTGGCCAGCTTGGCCTGGGCTGAGTCCTGGTCGCCATGACATTACTAAGGAAGGGCCTTAGTGATGGTCTTACCTCTAAGTGACTTTGCAGACCAGCAAACTACAGGGGAGCCAATAAGCGGCTGCCGTGTACCAGGCATTGTGCTAGCCTCTTACTTGCTCCGTACTCGGTTTTAATTCCCAAGGGAATAAAAAAAGGGAGTTGAGGCTTAGATGGTCACTTGCCCACGGTCAGTGAGCTAGGGCGAGGTAGAGCAGAGATCCAGCCCCATAGCCCCACAGCCGTCAGACTCCAGAGCTGTCCCTCACCCGGGGCCCGGTTCCTCCAGGCTCCAAGAGCTCTTCCCCGCTACGGGCTGGGCAATGGGCAGGCGGCTGGGCCCCCAGTCACCGCGGCCCCCCTGTGCGTGTGTGCAGGACAACAGCCGGCGCGTGGAGCACATCCTGAAGCTGTGGGTGATCGAGGCCAAGGACCTGCCTGCCAAGAAGAAGTACCTGTGCGAGCTCTGCCTGGACGACGTGCTGTACGCACGCACCACGGGCAAGCTCAAGACTGACAACGTCTTTTGGGGCGAGCACTTCGAGTTCCACAACCTGCCGCCCCTGCGCACCGTCACCGTCCACCTGTACCGCGAGACAGACAAGAAGAAGAAGAAGGAACGCAACAGCTACCTGGGCCTGGTGAGCCTGCCCGCCGCCTCCGTGGCCGGGCGGCAGTTCGTGGAGAAGTGGTACCCGGTGGTGACGCCCAACCCCAAGAGCGGCAAGGGCCCTGGGCCCATGATCCGCATCAAGGCACGCTACCAGACCATCACCATCCTGCCCATGGAGATGTACAAGGAGTTTGCCGAGCACATCACCAACCACTACCTGGGGCTCTGCGCCGCCCTCGAGCCCATCCTCAGTGCCAAGACCAAGGAGGAGATGGCATCGGCCCTGGTGCACATCCTGCAGAGCACGGGCAAGGTGAAGGTAGGTGTGTGGGCCTCAGGCGGGACCCCACCTCATGTCGCCCCGTGGGAGGCTGGGTGACGTGCTGGATTACCTACCGGTCCCCATGTCCACGTCATGGATTTCAGCTCTGGTGGAGGCACTGGTCACAGCCAGGTGAGTTTCTGAAAGCCAAGAGACGCATCGTGGAGGGTGGGGACTTGGTGCTCCTTCGCCGTGGTTGGAGCTGATCACAGAGGCGGGGATGGAGCCCCTGGACCGGAGCACATCTTGCAGTGAGGAAATGGGTTTAGGGACTTCACCCACTGCCCCAGAGGGCTGGCCCCTCCCTGAGGCTCGAGGCGAGCAGGCCACGAGGCCCACCTCTGCCGGCACACAGGTCCCAGCGACCCAGACACACACGTCCAGTGAGGTGTTGAGTTTGGGACACATCCCAACAGGTGACCGCCAGGGTGCAGGCCACTGTCCGAGCCCCAGACTCCCCCCTCACTCCCAATTCACACATGTGGGACACAGTCACTATTGCAGCCGTCTGTTTGACGGGCAGCCTGCCACAGCTACAGCCGTCCCCAGCTCCAGAGTCTCCAGGAGCAGAGCTCATCTAAAGCCCTCCAGGGCCGGGGTGGGGGCCCCTCTCGAGGCCTTTCACCTGCCTCCCCCTGCCAGACCACACCTCAGCCCCACCCACCTGGCTTTGGAGACAGGTAGGCTCCTTCTGGAAGGCTCCACACGCCTACCTGCCCATCGCAGTGGAGTGTGGTTCTGTGGGCCTCGAGGGCACACCTCCCCCCCTCCACCCTGCCCCCTCCCTTGGATGCAGCGGAGAAGGGCTGGACGTGGGGTCCGTCCACACTGCAGAGGCCGTGTGTGCTGGCCCCGGGAGCTGGGCCTCTGCCCTCTGGACGTGGTGTGGTTTGCGGCCTGTGGTGGGGGTGAGGGACTGCCCTGGTCAAGGTCCTGAGCCCTCAGCCTGGGCTTGGGGAAGACACGGGCGGGGCCGGGCCTCAGGTCCGCAGGCAGAGCCCAGGGCACGTGCTCCATCGGGGCCCTTATCCTCTATCTGTTCCCGGAAGGCCCTGGCCTCCTTCGGGCCCTTCAGAGCCCCTGCCTGTTGGGCTCATTGTGTGGGACCAACGCAGGAACAGGGAGGGGCGCTTTCCTGGCATGGGCCCCGTGGGGTCCGGCACTCGGTTCCTCCGCGTTGTTGGACCACCTTCCCCTGTCCCCAGCCTCCGACCTGCCTGGGCAAGGCTGCATGTGGGACTGTCTCTTAATTTCTTGCTTAGCAGTGGAAAGGGGGCTAGAAACTAAGTGAATGGAAGCCGTGCCTCCGGAGGGAGTTCCAGGGAGGCAGCAGGGCTGGAGCAGCGTTCTCTCTGTCTCTGTGTCTGTTCTTCCAGTACGTGGCCCCCGAGGGCTGGGCTGGCCTGGGAGTCTGACTCCGATCTGAAGGGACCTTCAGCTCTCATACTCACAGCTGAGACAGAAGAATCAGGGTGCTTATTGTGGAAGGAGGTGGAAGCCAGGGCTGCAGCCTCCCAGTGGGCCCTTAGGTGGGGAGAGCAGTAGATGGAAGGATAGGAAGTAACTCGGGCTGCTGGCGTGACGTTTGTCCGAACTCTGAGCACTTGGGCACTGACGGGTGCGATGCCTCTCGAGAGCACGTGACGAGGGCCCTGCAGTCCCGGGGGAGGGCTGTGTGAGGGGGCACCTGGCACGTTCTCCTTGCCGTCCCCCCTCCCCTCAGTGCGAGGGGAGGAACGGGGCCTGGAAACAAGAGACTCGGGCCCAGTGTGGCCCAGGTAGCTGTGTGGCCTTGGACAGGTCCCTGTCCTGTTCTGTGCCTCTTCCCCCTCGTTGGGTCCTAGCTCTAAGCAGAGCCCCTCCTCTTCCCCACCTGGGCCTCGCGCCTGCTCTAGGAGTTCAGGAAGCCCTGTGGGCAAGAGCAGAGCAGTACACGCAGTACTTACCTCTGCTGTCGTGTGTTCAGAGAGGGGGCCCTGGAGGTCACCTGTGGTCAGGAAGGGGTCCTCAGGCTGTGTGGTCCCCGGAGAGGCCAACTGCCACTTCCCCCCAGCCCCTCCTGTCTCTCCATTGGCCAGCCAGCCAGGTCTCCGGGACCCAGAGTTCGGTTCTGTATTTCAAGGGCCACTTGTGATTCCAGAGGGGCCCAGAGTTGTGCCCATCGGAGTGAGGAATTTCCAGAGCTCCAGAAGCCCTGGCCCGCACTGGCCAGTGCAGCCTCTGTGCAGGGTGGCCCCTGGCCCGACTGTCACCCTCCTCCGGGTCTCCGACTTCCTGCCTCCTGCCTGTCCTCCCCCCCATCCCCCAAGTCACAAGGCTGGCCGTGGGCGTGAGGAGGCGCAGGCTCCAGGGAGGAGTTTCCACCTGGGTGATGCAGCAGGTTCATCGTGCAGCCTCCCTGCAGTCAGGAGGGAAGGCGTGGGCTCAGGCTCCCTCCTGGGGTCTGCCCGTGAAGCCGCGCCTGGGGCTGAGAGGCCAGTGGGCCGCCTTCCCGCCCAGGCCGAGGTCGGTGCTCTCTCCATCTGAGCACTGGCTCGCTGCCTTCCAGGGCAGCCGGACTGCCTCTGCCTCTCTCTCGTCCTTGCCTGTGAGGCTGCACAGGACGAGCCCATGTCTGGTGTGGGAGACCCCGTCAGAGTAATGGGGGGACAGTGGCAGCTGCTTGTGCGAGGGGCAGAGGGCAGCCCATCTGTCCTCTTCGACACTGATGGCACTGGGTGAGGGAGTTCTGCTCCCGTCACCCCACCAGGCCTGGGCAGGGCTGAGCAGAGATTTGAGTTCCGCGGGTCCGGCTGTGATACGGGGGCCCATGGCTCCATGCAGCATGCTCTTGCATCCCTGATCCGGTACCCAGCTCTGATGTGGCCATGGCTAGACGTCCCCCCTCATCAGGCTGCCCTGCCCTCACTCCCAGGCAGCCCCCACCAGCGGGTACCAGTAGCTTGGCAATGGGGCAGCCTCGAGGAGCAGGGTCTCCTGGCCAGGGTGTGGGTCTGGAACCCTAGGGTCCTACCTGCCACGTCTGCTCAGGTCCACTCTCCTCACCTGGCTCCACAGGACTTCCTGACAGACCTGATGATGTCGGAGGTGGACCGCTGTGGAGACGAGCACCTCATCTTCCGGGAGAACACGCTGGCCACCAAGGCCATCGAGGAGTACCTCAAGCTGGTGGGCCAGAAGTACCTGCAGGATGCACTGGGTAGGGCGTGTGGGCCGGCCGGGGGCAGAGGGCAGAGGCGGGGCAAGCTCGCCAGGTCCTCACTGCCCCCTCCTGCCCTCTGGCCGCAGGGGAGTTCATCAAAGCGCTGTATGAATCGGATGAGAACTGTGAAGTGGACCCGAGTAAGTGCTCAGCCGCTGACCTCCCCGAGCACCAGGGCAACCTCAAGATGTGCTGCGAGCTGGCCTTCTGCAAGATCATCAACTCCTACTGGTCAGTGCTGCCTCCGCGCCCTTCTCGGCCTCAGCTGCCCAGGGCCCCCCACCCCTGCGTCCCCCCGTCCTTCTGGGTCCTTCTGTGCAGGTGCCTATGGAGTGCTGGGCTTTGTTCCCTCCGGACAGCTCTGTGAGGGGCTCTCCTCCATCATCCCCGACTCACAAACGGGAGAGCTGAGGTTTAATGAGGAGAGGAGAGGGGACACGCCCGCACCTCACACGGCTTCAGAGTGGGGCTCTGGGATTGGAAGCCACCCTCTGCCTGACCCCGCTGAGTCTCGCTGGGCTGCCAGGTCCCCGTCCTGGTCCTTTCTGGGCTGTCAGACGTAAGCAGTGTTCCAGAGCATACATGCAGGACGTGGTTTGTGCAGTGGTGAGGACCGGACCTGGCAGCCCATCGCACATGCTTAACAGCGGGCACCAGCTGGTGCTGTTGTAGGTGCTGGGGCTGCCCAGGGAGCCAGACTGACAAGGCCCTGCTCGGGCACCCGCCTGGGGTGGGTGGATGGCTTTACCTGGGACTCCTCACCTGTCCGTAGGAGCTGGTGCTCACTTCACAGGCTGTGATCAGGCCCAGCAGGGGCCTGTGTGGGTGCCTGGACACCAGGTGTGGGCCTCCTGCTGGGGCTGTAGAGGACAAAGGAGGTGGATTGGGCCTTAACTGGGACAGAGGTCCGCGGGCTCCTGGCAGCCCCAGAAAGGAGCAGAGGTGTGCTGAGCCGGCCGCTCATACAGGACCGCGGTCAGGGCCAGAATCAGTCCCGGGGCCGCTGAGGAGTGCTAGCCTAGCTCCAAGGCTAGCGTCCCAGGCATGGATGTCTGGTGGCGGCTGACCTGGTGCCGAGTACAGCCTCGTCACTGTCCAGGGGACCGTGCCGCCAGCCCCAAGCAGTGGGTATGTTTTCACACTGGAGGAGCTGCCAAGGTTTCCTCCTCGGTCACTGCTGCAGCTCAGGACCTGCATCCCGTCCCCATCCAGGTCGCTCTCCTGACCCCGTTCCCGCCCCCTGACCCCCAGCCATACCTCCCTCCTTTCTTTGATCATGTTCTTTCCCGGCCTGGCCTGTATCTGGCTCCCCTCTGCAGCCCTCCTTCAGGTCACCGCATATGGTCGTCTCCCCTCTCCTGGGCACCCTCGCTCACAGCCCCGCTCCCATCAGAGTGCCTGATTGTGCCTGGGTCCAAGTCCGTTTCCTGCACACACCCTGAGCGCCCTGGGGGCAGGCAGACTCACCAGCTCGGGCCTGGGCATACAGGAGGGCCCGGGAATGTTTTGCTGCTCCCGAAGGACAGGCAGAGGCGGGCCTGCTAGGTGAGCGACAGCTTTGGATCTGGGCAGAGGGAGTGGCCAGAGCCAGTGGGGTGGGCGCCTCCGGCCCAGGGCCCTCTGGCCCAGGGCTACACAGGGTGCTCACCTGGGGCCAGCCTGGCCTCTTGGGCTGAGCTGAAAATGAACCCTGGCACCAGGGGAAGAGGGGCAGCCAGAGAGCCTGAGCTCTGGAACACACTTCCCACCCTTGGGCTAGGCTGTGTTTTCACCCTCTGCCCGCCTGTTCCCAGGGCGGACCGGGTGTGGGACACAGGGAAACATAACCACAGACAATGATTTTCTGTTTCCTCTTTCTGGCGTTTGTAGAGGCCCAGAGGCACCTCTCCGTTCTGAACAAGGCTGTTGATAGATGTTATCACTCAGCGCCTGCCCCCTGCCCAGTCCTGTGCCTGGTACTTCAGAGGCCAGGACTAAAGGTCACCTGCCCTCACTTCCTCTCTAGCCACGTCCTTGTTGGTTCAGCCACATTACTGCCAGAGTCTGCCGGGCCGGGTGCTGGGCTTGTTGGGCAGAAGCTTTTCAAGCTGATCAAAGCCTCTTAAAGTCTTGGGGGGGTCCCAGCCTTAAGATGGCTCTGAGCTCGGCAGGGCAGGCCTTGTTCTTAGTGTGAGAGTGAGGACACCGAAGCCCAGGGAGGGCCAGGCCCTGGGTCAGAGCACCCTGAGCTAGTGACAGAGCCAGGTGGACTCTGGCTTCAGGGAATGCCCATCTTCTAGGGTGAAAAGATAGGAAGGCCACTTAAAGCTTGGCCTGCTGGGGCCTCCCTGTGGCGGTGTGGTGGGACGCCCAGAGGAGATAGCCCCCAGCCAGGTGCCGGGAACGTGGCCTGCACTCACCGGGTCCGCCTGGGGAGGCCACTGCCTCCATTTCCCTCCCCACTGAGAAAGTAGGGAGCTGTGTCCTCACCCTGTGGTTAGGATCCAGCCATCTTCTTGATCACCCCGAGCTCTGCTGAAAACCTCTAACTCTATAACGTTATTTGAGTGAAGGGAGTAAGTCTCAAAAGGCAGGGATGGGAACCAAGGAGTGGTGGTCTGTTCCTCCTGTGTTTTCCTCACTCTCCCCTAGGCCCTGATGCCTGCCGTGTGGGGAGGGGGGTGAAGCCCTCTGGGAGCTCGCCCTCACTGCCGGCTCCCCCGTGCCTGTGTCCCACCCCACTCAACCCCTCGGGGAGAGATCCACCTGACTGCGGCCCGGGCGGCCCTGCTCCTGTGCCTGCCCTGTGCTCTTCCTGTGCCGGCTCACACAGCCCTGATCGTGGAGCAGGGCTGGAACTCGGTTCCATTGGACCCAGAACCGGGTCCCTGCTCTGCCCCCTCCGGTCCTGGCGCCCTGCCTGACGGCCGGCCCCCCTCGTGTGTCCCGGCACAGTGTCTTCCCGCGGGAGCTGAAGGAGGTGTTCGCCTCGTGGCGGCAAGAGTGCAGCAGCCGTGGCCGGCCGGACATCAGCGAGCGGCTCATCAGCGCCTCCCTGTTCCTGCGCTTCCTCTGCCCAGCCATCATGTCGCCCTCACTCTTCAACCTGCTGCAGGAGTACCCCGATGACCGCACCGCCCGCACACTCACCCTCATCGCCAAGGTCACCCAGAACCTGGCCAACTTCGCCAAGTGAGTGCCACGTCCCCCGACGGCAGGGTCCGCCCCAGAGCTGGGCCGTGCGGCAGGCCAGTCCCTGCTGTCCTCAGTCCTTCCCCGCACCTCAGCTCCCCTACTGAACGTACATGCTGCTGTGGTATGTTTCCGTGTAATTTTCAAAGGGGAGAAGACAAGGTATTTTTTTCCTTCTGCTTTTTTTTTTTTGGCGGTACGCGGGCCTCTCACTGTCGTGGCCTCTCCCGTTGCGGAGCACAGGCTCCGGACGCACAGGCTCAGCGTCCATGGCTCACGGGCCCAGCCGCTCCGCGGCATGTGGGATCTTCCTGGACCGGGGCACGAACCCGTGTCCCCTGCATCGGCAGGCGGACTCTCAACCACTGCGCCACCAGGGAAGCCCCCTTCTGCTTCTTTGAATGAACATTTTATCATAAGGATTCTCCCATGTACTTACCATTCATACGCTTGGTTTTGAAATTAGTGACTAATATGCCTTTGAGGGACAAGGGCCTGTGTCTCCTGAAGCCGACCCCTGTGGTTGGGCACCCGGCTTGTTTCAGATTGTCCTTATCTAAGGCTGCCAAGGACGTCTTTGCTAGTGAAGCACTTCAGTGTTCTCGCTGTACCTTAGAGGGAGTGGGTGGAAACGGAAGGGCTGGGTCATCAAGGCGCTCTCAGGAGGTATGGATGGAGCCCCCTCTGGGCCTCCTCTGGGCCCGGCCTGCCCTCCGGGAGACAGCCCTACAGCAGGGGAGAGAGCGGGTGGACGTGGGCACGCGGGCTCGCAGGAGGGCCCTGCGCTACTTGGGAGAGGAGAGAGGGAGGCTTCCTAAAGACGTTCTCCCCCAACTGCGTGTCAGGACGAAGGGCAGCCGGGGCAGACAGGCCTGGGAGGGACCAGGCACTGTGCAGTCCCTGAGTCAGCAAGTACCAGGCTGGGGGAGGTGGGAGATGAGACCCAAGAGGAAAGCAGGGGCTTTTGAAGGCCAGGCAGGGCCTTGGAGCGAGGGAGATGGTGAGAGTCCTGCAGAGTTCAGCCTGACAGCAGTGGGGCCAGGGGGTGGAGGGGGCGGGACTGGCAGGCGAGAGGCTGGGAGGAGAGCAAAATTACGCTTCTGGTAACAGCAAAGGGATGGAAGTATTGGGCCCGGGAGGTGACGATGCTGGAGGCACTGCTGCGAGGTCACGGGGTGATTAGAAGATAAGGTCAGCAGCCTGGCCAGCGGTGGGGGAGGCACGGGGGGAGCTGACCACGGCCGGGCTCCTCGTGCAGCTCTCTGCTGGGTGGTGGCGTCTCCCCTTGGGGCAGGGAGCCCTGGAGGAGGGCGCAGGTTTGGGGTGCCGGAGATGACTGCAGACCTGGCCAAGCTGAGGACGAAGGGGGAGGTGTCCGTGGCGGAATGTGTCTGAAAGCTCAGCAGAGAGACCTGGCCAGGCATGGATTGAGAGTCGTCTGCGCACCAGGCCATTGCCGTTTGGGGGAAAAGAGGAAGCAGATTGTGAGTGCCAGTGAATGGGGAGTGAGGGCCATGGAACCTTCCAGGTCCTGTGAGAAAAGGCCCAGAAAGGGTCTCTAGTCTTAGCCATGAGGGCCCTGAGCCAGAGTGGATTGGCTGGCTGGGGAGTAAGTGGCGAAGGGGGGCTCCTGGGCGGGGCCCAGGGCACTCACCCCGTCTGCTCGGCTCCAGGTTTGGCAGCAAGGAGGAGTACATGTCGTTCATGAACCAGTTCCTGGAGCACGAGTGGACCAACATGCAGCGCTTCCTGCTGGAGATCTCCAACCCCGAGACCATCTCCAACACGGCCGGCTTCGAGGGCTACATCGACCTGGGCCGCGAGCTCTCCAGCCTGCACTCGCTGCTCTGGGAGGCCGTCAGCCAGCTGGAGCAGGTGCCTGTGCACCGGGCCGCAATGGGCGGAGGGCGGGCCGAAGGCCACCAGAGCTGCCTCAGGCTGCTCCAGCTCCCAGAGTAGCCAGGGGCTCAGAGGGTTCGCCTGTGCGGTGCAGATCAGCGGCCCTGCCGGGCGCCGGAGCCCGAGGGTCCAGCCCAGGCCCTGTCAGCGCTGGGGATCTCGGGGCCCACTTCCTCGGTGGGGAGCGCCGTGTTCCCGCGGCAGCCCCTGCCCAGGGGAGCCTGCTCTGTGCTGGGGCTTCGGCTGTGGCGTTGAGTGGATGGAGTCCACTGCTGAGGGTGTGCTCCCTGCCTCCGACAAGTGTGATCAGGGTTAGCTGCTTCTCTGAAAATGTCCTTGCTCTGGGTTTTAAGGCCACCGATATGAAAAAGAAGACTGAAGTTGCCACACCTCCACGTGTCAGGCAGGAAGTTGCAAACCTTTCCAGAATTGCCCTTGGCCATCAGTTGAAATGGTTATTCCCTAGACATCTCTGACATTGCTGCAGCCACCGTGGCCTGGGTTCCACTGTCCCAAGCAGCCCCAGCTCGCACAGTGAGCAGGTTCTTGGCAGCAAGGGCTGGGCCTGCCAGGATCCACTTCCAGAACATCTGCTTTCCAGGGCTCTGTGAGACCATCTTACAAAAGTAGCTACTGCTGAACCGAGACTGGAAGGGACCTTACTGGAAGGTCCCTAGGGGTGACCACCTAGGGCGCTCTGGTGTGTAGCCTTCTAGATACATCTGTGCATGTGTTAAGTGCACACACAGGCAAAGTCCTTTCCCTTTTTGTTAAAGTGAGAACTTTGCGTGCAGTGCCGCATGCGTTTCTCACTCCTCCGTCATCGGCATCTTTTCACGACAGTACGTGCCACACCGCCACTGTGACCTTTCTAATGGCACAGACTGTCCTGTCATGTGACTGCACCATTTAGTTTACTGGACGCTCAGATTAGGCCCAGCTTTTAACTACAAACATGCTGTTGCAGTCATTTCTGCTCCTTTATGTCCGTTGCCCTTTGGCTCCGAGAGACCCAGGAGGGAGAAATGGAAATGAGGGCCAAGGGCTTCTCTCCCTCCACTGCTGCCAACACCATTCAGTCTACGGCCACCACTTAACTGAGCGCCTGTGCCCTGCCACTGTCTTCCATGTCCGCGCAACCAGGCGGGAGCTACAGAAGTTGCAGCAGGATTGAAAGTCGAGCTGTTTGCCGCTCACATCTCTCCTCTGTTGACTACATGAGTTTTCATACTTTATTTTTGCACAAAGCCCTAGATGGAAGCTGGGGCATAAGCCAGGGGAAGGCAGAGTCCCCCGTCCCCAGCCCGGAACGCTTAGCACCATCAGTCTAAACCAGGATAGCGAGGTTTAGCCAGCCCAGGTGCCACTGTCTGCCTGACAGGCGTGTGGTGGTGCCTGCCTGGTGCCTGGGCCGTTGCCCCTGGGGCTCAGGTGTCAGAGTGGGTCAGGGCCCAGCCCACCCGGTGGAGTAGATGACATGGGAGGGAGCCATCCCCGAGCCAGGCCTTGCAGGTGGGGAGGGTCCGGGATTCCGTGTGGCCTGTCCTGTCTGTGGGGGAACTGAGGTAGGACAGACTGGGGTGAAAGGCTTGGACTAGGTTAGCGTTTCTCCCTGTGGGCCTCGCACCCTGTCCCAGAAATATGTGGGGAGCTGGTAAAAACGTCATTTGCGATTTCTGGGCTCCCTACCGCATCCCAGACCTGCCAGATCTGACCTGCATGGGAGGGCGGGCCTGCATTTCTGACTGGCTCCTTAGAAGTTTTGAACACAGTGGCTACAGCGCACTTGGCCTCCACAGGCAGCCCCAGTGGGTCACACCTGCCTCTTGCTGTGTTTTTGCAGAGCATCGTATCCAAACTGGGGCCTCTGCCTCGAATCCTGAGGGACGTGCACACGGCACTGAGTGCCCCAGGCAGTGGGCAGCTTGCGGGGACCAACGACTTGGCCTCTACGCCTGGCTCTGGCAGCAGCAGCATCTCAGCGGGGCTGCAGAAGATGGTGATCGAGAACGACATCTCCGGGTAAGAGCCGCCGAGCATGCTGGGTGTTGCGGGGTGCCTGTTCGGACAAGGTGCAGCCACCTGCAGTCTCATGTGGGGTGGAAGGTACCTACGCTGGCGTTTATAAAACAAGCTGAATGAGACTCAGGTGTGTTTTTCAGGCCCTAAGTAGTGAAGTTCTGTTTGGGAAAAATCAGGAAAGGCTTCTTGGAGGAGGTAGTGCTATAGTTTGGAGCTTAGGAAAAAGTAATACCTCCATTGGTGGAAAAGGCGTTCTAGGCAGAGGGACTAGCACAGACAAAGGCCTGGAGAAAGACAATCCATCTTTTGTTGAAGAACAATTACTGGTCCCAAGCACTTCCACATCACTGGGTTGTATGTGTTTCCTGGTATTTCCTGGACCTGAATCAGAATCTCCAGAGGTGACGCTCCAGGGTGTGTGTTTTCAGGAGGAGCTCAGGTGACTGTAAGGCTTAGAGACTGGGAGCCTGGGAAACTAGAGAGGTGCTGAGGCCCAGCTCTTGCTCTGAGCCCCCAGCCCTGGGACAAGTGCCCAGTAAATAAAACAACAGTGGAGGGGGAGGCAGAGTGTTCTCTGAGTGATGACATCAAAATGAGGACCTTGGCGTTTACAGTGAACTATTTATGGCGCAGTTGTACACTCGCCTCCTCTACCAGGGCCATCTTGGGCCAGCTGATGAGGATGAGGCTGGAGCAGCAGAGTTGGGAGCTCTCTGGTTCTGAAATGGTGGCAGCAGCAGGCTTTTAGCAGGCGAGGGCGTTGAGATCAGGACCTGGGGATGTGGTGCGAGGGACTGGAGGCCCAGGGGGAGGCGGGAGATGCAGAGACCTTGATGCCCCTTCTCGGGTCCCTCTAAGTCTTGAGGGGCCGTTCATACAATCTTCCAAGTGAGGCAAAGCAGAGATTCAGGTGGGGAACACACCTTAGCCGAGTGGTGGCTCGAGAGGTGTCCGGGCACATGGGTTCTCAGGAGACCTGACCTGGGCGTGTGGAAGGACGGCCCAGGCCCATGGCTGGTCTGGGTTTCTCCCGGCTCCACCTGCTGCCCTTGTCCACTTCCTCTCGGCCCACAAGTGCTGTGGCCCTGAGTGGCCGCTACCTGCCCTGCCTAAGTCCCATCACCTGGGGCTTGGCACTTGCTCACCATCCCAGGCTAAGCCCACTCCTTTCTAAGCCCATGTTGAACCCCCAAGTTCTTGCTGCCTCTAGCCCACTCAGAGCCCTGTTCACCCCCGCATTCTTCCCTCCAAAGCCCACCTGGCTTTGTACCTCCTTCCAAGGAGTTGGCTTCCAGGGAGGGGCCAGGGAGAGTCTGGGAGTCCGGGATAGGGGTGAGGGTATGGCCTGCCACGGCAGGTACAGGCCCTCCCCGCCTGAGTCACGCCCGGAGGAGCCGCCTCTGATTCCTTGCTTCTGCCGGAAGCGCCAGCCCCCGCCTGCCAGTCAGACGGGTGGCAGCAGGAGGCTGCAGGTGGAGGCTTCTCTCAGCACAGGCCCCCACCTGGTTACCAGTGTGACTAGGAGCAGAGGGAAGAGGCAGAGGGAGCCCCCGTGGCTTTGAAGCCCTAGTTCTCGGTGCAGGACCCTGGGATAGCAGAGAGCCACTGCGTCGTGGGTTTGGATTTAGTCAGAGGGCTTTTCCAGAACACTTCAGGCCCCAGAACCTACTGTCCCAAGATGCAGCTGAGCAGGGAAAGGGCCTGCCAGGCCGCCTGGCCTGACCCTGGGAGCGCGGGTCCCTAGTGCAGAGGTTCCGTGCTGGAGCAGCCGTCAGCCCCTCGCCCTCGTGGTGGCTTCTGCCAGGGTCAGCTGCCCGGGCTGTGGTTTGGTTTTGCAGCTGCACCACTGGGCCCCGGGACTCTCCCACTCTCACTACCCCCACACCTCCTCCCCTCCCCTGCCTTCCCTCTTCTCTCCTCCCCTTCCCCCCACCCTGGCTCAGGCCGCCGGGTGGGCGGCAGGTTGGCGGGGGCTCTCGGTTGGGACCCGCCTTGGCCGCATTCACAGTTCTTCTCTTCCCCCTTCTTTCCCTGTGTGTGCTTGTCTCCCTGCAGTCTGATAGATTTCACCCGGTTACCGTCTCCAACCCCCGAAAACAAGGACTTGTTTTTTGTCACAAGGTCCTCCGGGGTCCAGCCCTCACCTGCCCGCAGCTCGAGTTACTCGGAAGCCAACGAGCCTGATCTTCAGATGGCCAACGGTGGCAAGAGCCTGTCCATGGTGGACCTCCAGGACGCCCGCACGCTGGACGGGGAGGCGGGCTCCCCGGCGGGCCCCGACGCCCTCGCTGTCGACGGGCAGGCACCTGCAGCTCAGCTGGTGGCCGGGTGGCCGGCCCGGGTGGCCCCAGTGAGCCTGGCAGGGCTGGCCACGGTGCGGCGGGCAGGCCAGACGCCGAGCACAGCGGGCACCTCGGAGGGCGCACCGGGCCGGCCCCAGCTATTGGCGCCGCTCTCCTTCCAGAACCCTGTGTACCAGATGGCGGCCGGCCTGCCGCTGTCTCCCCGTGGCCTTGGCGACTCTGGCTCCGAGGGCCACAGCTCCTTGAGCTCCCACAGCAACAGCGAGGAGCTGGCAGCTGCCGCCAAGCTGGGAAGCTTCAGCAGCACCGCCGGGGAGCTGGCGCGGCGCCAGGTGTCGCTGACTGAGAAGGGCGGGCAGCCCCCGGGGCCGCGGCAGAACAGCGCCGGCCCCCAGCGGAGGATCGACCAGCCGCCGCCCCCACCCCCGCCGCCGCCTCCCGCGCCCCGCGGCCGGACGCCACCCACCCTGCTGAGCACCCTGCAGTACCCGCGGCCCTCGAGCGGGACCCTGGCGTCGGCCTCGCCCGACTGGGCTGGCCCCGGAGCCCGGCTGCGGCAACAGTCCTCCTCCTCCAAGGGCGACAGCCCCGAGCTGAAGCCTCGTGCGGTGCACAAGCAGGTCAGTACTGCCGGGCTCCGGCGCCGGGGGCGGCCTGAACCCGTGTTGCGCTGCTCCTCCTGGCCGTGTCATCGCCACCTGCACCCGCTGCCATCCCATGCTGAACGATGCCCCACTCGTCCCCATCCCACCAGCCTGTGCACCCCCTGGCCCCTCCCCCGGCCCCACCGGCCCCTGCCTGCGTCCTGTGAGCCAGGGACACTGCGGCCCGGGGGTCCCTCTGCCAGTTTCCTCAGAGACAGCTGGGGTCAAGGAGGAAGAGGGAGGGGTCCGTCCATGCCCAGTTCCAAGCCTGTTAAAGCCCGACCCAGGGTAGGGGTTGACGTGGCCCCCAGGCCCCCTCCTGCTCTGAGATGGCCTCCAGGGCTGTACACGCAGTAGGGTAACAGATGTGCTGTGGGCTGGACACTGACCTGCCGGGCCAGGTCCACTCGCTCTCACTTGGGCGGCAGAGAGCCATGCTCAGGAGGCCACCTGGGCTCCCGACTCTGCTTCAGGCCACCTGGAGTTGCTTGGGCCGGGGGCTGCTTCAGACGTGCCCAGTCAGCTAGAGATTCCCTCTGAGCCGCTTGGCCCTGGGGCTCACCCAAGGCCACCCCCCACCCCTCTCTCCAGCCCCTCACAGCTGTGTTTCATCGCAGGGCCCTTCACCCGTGAGCCCCAATGCCCTGGACCGCACGGCCGCCTGGCTCTTGACCATGAACGCGCAGTTGTTAGAAGACGAGGGCCTGGGCCCAGACCCCCCCCACAGGGATAGGCTCAGGAGTAAGGAAGAGCTCAGCCAAGCAGAAAAGGTAAAGCTGGACCCTGGCAGTGCGGGGCAGGGGGGCTGCCTCCCCGAGGTGGCTGGCAGAATTCTCTCCCCTCGAGCCCTGAATTCCCACACGTGGCCAGTCCCCTCTCAACCCCTGGCCCCACGTGAGGGCAGCTGTCAGTGGAATTTGGAGGATTTAGCTTAAACCTGAGGTTTCCTACATGGGCTGCATGTGAGACCCACCCAGGAATCGTATTGAATCCAGACCCCAGGAGGCACCTTCCCTAAGTGACTGGGCAGCCGAGCTTCTGAGCATCTGGGACTTGAGGAGAATCCAGGACCTGGGGGGTCAGGGGTGCCTGAGAGGTGCATGGAGACCCTTGGGGGGAGCCTCACGCATGAAGAGGCAGAGGCACGGGTCCTGGCGACAGCAGGGAGGCACCCCGGCCAGGCCCCTCCGCTCTGGGATTGTGCCTGCCCGTGGCCTGGCTTTCCCCCAGTCCCCGTCTCCACCAGGGTCTGGGAGAGAGAGCCAGGGAGGGGTGATGTCAGATTGTTTCCGAGATGTTTTCTTCTTTCCAGGGGAAAAATATTGGTCCTAAGACATCCAAATCCCACCCCCAACGTACATCTAGTATTTGGGTGAGCAGTGGGGTGCTTCCGTTCTCCACGATTCTTTTAGTTATTGTGGCAGCTGCCCTGGATCCATGGCCGATCCCCATCTCCTCCTGGAGGCCAAAGCCCAGGCTGACACAGGACCAGTGCAAGGCCCCCCAGAACAGCAGCCACTTCCCCCACTCACCGTGGGTGCCCTCGCCCCTCTCGGCCCCAGGAAAGCCTGTAGCCACCTCTCAGGCGAGGGCACGCAGGGCGGGGTGTCCGCTCTCCCTCCCGCTGGCCTGGGGTCAGGTCCACGTCCATGCTGCATTCCGCCGCCTCCACCATCCCCTTGGTCCACTGCATCCACCTGCTTTCACCATTATTGCGTGAACGGGACCAGGGGACATGGGGCACAGTGCTCCAAGAGCCAGAGTTTGGCTGGGGAGCAAGGAGGGCCAGCTTCACCCCAGGCTCCTTGCATGAGTCTGGGGCCAGGCTGTGCGCTTTTCTGAGACTACCTACCTTCCCATCTGTGAATTACAAGGAGTGCCTGAACGATTTCAAGGGTCAGGCTGCAGCTGGAGTGTTCTCTGTCCTCGTGCCTTGGCCCAGTGAGCTGCTGTTTCTCTCTTTCTTTGCCATTAACCCTCGCAGGCAAATCCTGGAGTTCCCTTGAGCTCCTTGAATACCTGGTCCTGCCTCTGTCAGGGAGGGCCCTCCCGACCCCACTCTGACCAGCTGTGCAGGAGACCTAGGATGGGGCTGTTTCTCCCGGAGCTGGGCTCTCCTCTGGGGCCAGCTTTGCTTCAGGAGTTATATTTGCTGCCTCCTGGCCTCTGGGCAGTCCTTTGCTGATGAGTGAATTGGCTCCCGATGCCCGAGACTCAAGGAGAGGCCCTTCCTGCCTTCCCCATTCCCTGTATTCTCACAGCACCCGGCGCCCAACCTCTCCAGCCCCTTGATTCGGGTGTTGACCCTGACTCGCGCTCTGTTCAGCTCGCACAGCCTCCCAGCTCACTGCTTCTCTTGCTGCTTTATACATCCCTCCTCCTCCCTGAAGGCCGAGAGTGCTGGGCTGAGTCAGATCCAGAAAGCCCTAGACCACTGCCTTTAATCTCTTCCCCCGACTTCCTATGCGACTTGCCACGGCTTCAGGGTCAAATCGAGCCTGGGAGGCTAGGATCTCACCGCATCAGTCACTGTGCTCCCCATGTGATTGGGTCATTTGCCTTCTGGGTCTCAGCGTCCCCTCCTGTGGAGCCCCCGTCTCTCAGAGCACTGTCATCTCCTTAATGTACCCAAGAGGTTTATAACTTTTTTTTATTATGAAAAGCTCAAGACCTTTACTTCTGAGGTCTGGTTTGAGTCTTCATCTGCCTCCTAGCTGTAGGTTGGGCTGGCGGGTGGGAGAGCCCCGGATGGGGGCCAGGCATCGAGTGTCATTGGCCCCCTCTCCCTGGGCGTCTCCCCGCTGTGGGAAGAGGACTGAGATGGTGATGGGCCCTGAGGCATTCCGAGCCGGGCTGCCTCCCATCCTGTGCCCCTGCCCGGGCTCACGAGGCTGTGCTCTCTGTCCTGGGTGCTGTGCCCGTGGCGCGCCGCCCTCCTAGCAGGACCTGGCAGTGCTGCAGGACAAGCTGCGAATGTCCACCAAGAAGCTGGAGGAGTATGAGACCCTGTTCAAGTGCCAGGAGGAGACCACCCAGAAGCTGGTGCTGGAGTATCAGGCGCGGCTGGAGGAGGGCGAGGAGCGGCTGCGACGGCAGCAGGAGGACAAGGACATCCAGATGAAGGGCATCATCAGCAGGTGAGCGCGGCCGCCTGTTACTGCTCTGCGCCCGCTTCTGGCCGCACGCGCACCGAGGAGCGGACCTGTCCGCTGCCGTCCAGGAGGCCCGGGATCCGAGGGCGGGGCTGCTCAGCCGCAGGGTGAGCCGAGTGTGGAGAGAGAAGAGCGTCAGAGGCGGTGGGGACAGTGGCACAGGCCCGGAGGCGGGAGGTAGCCCGGAGTGTGGGGGGCCCACACGGTGCAGTGTGTGTCGATGGCGGAAGGTGAGGTTGGCCAAGGCAGCCGCAGAGGGCCTGGGCTCCCTGTAGGGAGTCATGTTTCCTTGCTGCGCACTCACAGGGGAGTTCAGAAGCTGGATGCAGGTGCCAGGAAAGACAGCGAGGGTCCATTCCGGGGCAGGAAAAGGAATGAATGTCAGTTACATGCAGTGGGTGAGGGTGGGAGGGAAGAAGTAGCCAGAATGAGCCCCGGATTTTTACCAAGAGCATCCAGGTGTGTCATGGTGCCAGTTACTGAGATGGGGGCCTTTGGAAGAAGAGCAGTTTGGATGGGGCGGGAGAGAGATGATGCCAGTTGTGGATATGTTGAGTTTTAAGGTGCCTGTGGGTTATGCAGGAAGATTTCCAGGTGGACCATTGACTGTAATGCTCTCATCCTTATTGGTAGCTCATCTTTATTTCTGTGTTGATTCCCTTCTCTCTCCCACTCTGCCCACGGATAAAGTGGATACACCCTCCTGCATGTCTGCAAGCAGGGAATACAGTCAAGGTGTAGCATTCAGACCAGCCCACAGGGTCCCAGTCATGGAGTTTACTTCCTTATGACAGTACTACCAAGTGCAAGAGGAGACCGTGTGGACTTACAGCTTGTTTGTTCACATGGTACAAGAGCCTGTCATCAGGATAGATTCAGCAGGTGTGCAGTAACCGGGATGTTCCCCCACCTGGCCTCATGCTCTGTCCACTGTAAAGATCCTTCCTTAATTCCTCCTGTTCAGACCACCTGTTTCTCTGCTTCTAATTATTGCCTGCTTGATTTACCTGTGGGTTTCTTCTTTATAAAATGGTTAGCATGAGCAGAGGGCCTATAACCAGGGTGACTGGAAACCCCCTGTTGACTGAACTTCCAGCTCTGCTCTTGGCTCACCTCATGTGTGTGGTTCCAAGAGAGGAAACACTTTTCATTTAACCACATTCTCATCTTATCTATTCTCTGAGAGGTGCACGCTCTCCTGAATTCAGTAACACATTTATTTCTACTAGCCAAGCCTGGTATTTCCTCCCTGCTGTACACATCAATTAAGTCAATTTGGTTGACAGTGTTGTTCACGTCTTCTATATCCTTACTGGTTTTTCTCTGTACTTGTTTTCTATCAATTATTGAGAAAAGGATAATGAAGTTTCTAATCCTAATTACAGATTTATCTGTTTCTCTTTTCATTTCTATTGGTTTTCACTTTATGTTCACTGAAGCTCTATTCTTAGACACATACACATTTAGGCTAGTTATGTGCTGTTGACGAACTGATCTCTTTATCATTATAAAATCATCTTCTTTATCCCTTGTAATATTCCTTGCTCTGAAATCTACCTTGTTTGATATTAGGACAGCTGCCCTAACTTTCTTTTGATTGGTATTAGCCTGGTATATCCTTTTTCATCCTATTTATACTTTTAACCCAATTATGTCCCTCATTATAAAGTGAGTTTCCGTTACAGACACCTTATTGTTCTTGCTTTTTATCTAATCTGACAGTTTTCTGCCTTTTAATTGGAATGTTTAGACTATTTACATTTAATGTAATTGTCAATATAATTACATTTAAACTTATTATCTTGCTACTTGTTTTCTATTTGTACCATCTGTTTTGTTCCTTTTCCTGCCCCCTTTTAGATTGAGTATTTTTTACGGTTCCACTTTATCTCCTTTATTGGCATATTAGCTGTATCTTGTTGTCACTTTAGGGCAGGGGTTAGAAACCTTCTGTAAAGGGGCAGATAATAAGTGTTTAGACTTTGCAGGCCACGTGGTGTCTATCGCAACTATGTAACTAATATGCTAAAACTCCGCTGTTGTAGCAGAAGCATGTGCAACTTGATTATGAAGTGCCTTGACATGTTTTCTGCATGGGTTTGTTGCGCTCTTGGATCTGTGGGTGTGGGGTTCTGCCTCCTTAGTCTGTTTTCTGGGACTTTAATTGCATATACATTAGGCTGCTTTACGTTGTCCCACATCTTACTGATGCTCTGCTGTTTCCCTTTTTTCATCTTTTTCCTGTGTTTTATTTTAGATTGTTGCAGTGTCTTCAAGTTCACTAATCGTTTCTTCTTAAGCGTCTAATCTGCCGTTAATCCTATCCAGTATTTTTTCATTTCGGGTGTCGTATTTTTGCCCCTAAGTTTTCAGTTTTCTTTAAATCCCATCCATTTCTTTTCTCATCATGCTCACGCGTTCCTCTGTTTTCTTGAACGTGTAGAATATATTTATAACAGCTGTATTAACGTCCTCGTCTACTAATTCTATCATCTGACATCTTCTGAGTCTGTTTTTATTGCTTTTCCTCCTGGTCACGTGTTGGTTTTGTTTTCCTGCTTCTCTGCGTGCTTGATGATTTGGGGTTGGATGCCAGACACTGTGATTTTCACGTAGCTGTTGGATGCGTTGTGTTCCTCTCAGTATCTGGGGGCTTTGCTCTGGGACACAGTGACGTTGGAAGGATCGGTTTGATTCTTTGGAGGCTCACTTTTCAACTTCGTTGGGGCGGGTCCTGGACAGGCTTTAGCCTAGGCCTGATCTGGCTTCACTGTCGAGGACTTTCCTGCTGGGGATTCTACGTGATGCCTCCTGTGTTAGTGTGCTTTTCCACACTGCCTAGAGGGATCATGAGCTATTCCTGGGGTGGTTTTGGGTATTCCTTTCCAATGGCTCTTGCCCCAGCCCGGCTGTTTTCTCACAAGCGTGCAGAGCAGTCCTCAGCCAGAGCCCCAAGGGGACCCCTCAGGAGATAGGTAGAGTCCTCTCTGCATTTTCTCCTCTCTGGCACTGCCCCCCAAAAGCTTGGCTCCCCCACCCTTCCATCCTCCCAGGGTCTCCTTGACTCCACGTGACCCCTTCCCTCCGTTGCTTGCCGGGACACTGCCAGCAGTGGGTGGGGCTCGCTTCGTGTGTTCCCTTCTCTTAGGGGTCACCGTACTGCACTGCACTGCCTGCTTTTCAGTGTCTGGAAACCTTTGTTTTCATATATTTTGTCCAGTTTTCTAGTTTGGTTTTTTCTTAGGGCAGGAGGTTAAATCCAGTGCCTGTTTGTTATTCCACCATAGCTGGGAGCAGAAGTCTCTCCCCCTTCCTCCATTCCTCCCACTCCTGCTTCTCACAGGCTTTGCTCAGTGACGTACCTACCTATGACAAGGAACTTCCCCTCTTGGCGTGAGCCCACACCCCTTCCTCCTCAACCCCTGATCCCATTGGCTTTTCACGACAGCCCTCTGTGGTACCTGCCCTAGCACATTGACCTCCCTGTGCATCTGCTGTGAAATGGACGAAGTGCTCGCCTGGGGGCTAGATGCTCTGCTGCTCTGGAGAAGTTGTGCGGGTAGAGACGGAAATAAAGCAGTAGGTGAACTCCTCTGAGAAGAGTGTAGAGCAGGAAGAGTGGCCGCGGAGGCAGAGCCCTGTGGAGCCCTGACAGCCTAGGGGCAGACAGGACAAGGCCTCTGCAGAGCAGTGGCCTGGGAGCTAGGATGCAAACCCAGAGAGCATGGGGTCTGAAAGCTGAAGGAAGAGAGTAGGAAGGTGGGAGTGATCAGCAGTGACTGACAGGTACGTGGGAGACAAGCAGGCTGAGACCTGAAAGGGTCTCGGGGAAGGAGCAGCTGGCCACAGGCCCCCGCTGGCCCTAGTTCCGAGCTTCTGTGGATCGTGGTCCTCGCGTCTTCCCTGCTCATTACCCAGGCGGCAGGCCTTGCTTGTCCTTCAGCTGTCCAGTTCAGTGCGTCCACCCCCACCCCCAAGACAGCCAGCCGCTTCCTGTTCTCTGTCCCCATGGCCCACAAGCTGCCCACTGCAGAGCGTGGTTACCTTCTCCCTGCCTGTGTCCCTACTGCCTTGCGACCTCGAGTGCCCGGCACAGCCTCAGTGAATACGGGGTGGGTGGAAAAAGCTCTAGAGCCTCGCAGGGCCTTTGTTTCCCACTCAAACCACAGGTCTCATGATGTTACAACCACCTGCCTGGCTCTGGGGTGTGGTGAGGATCTAACACCCACTCCCACCCCTGTGGCTCCTGGAAGAACACCAGGAAAGGGGCAGCCCCAGGGACTTCTGGGGATTTGGGAACAGAATCTGGGGCGGGTGAAGCATAAGGAAGGAGCAGGCTCAGCCTGTGTCAGTTGTCGGGGGCCAGCTGGAGGGCCTGTGTCCCAGGCAAGTGTGGGAGGTGAGTCTATGGCCCAAGGAGGGGCTCTCCTAGTATGCCCCCTCTGTGCAGGGGTGATGGTTTGTTCCCACCAGGCCCCGCACTCACCTCCTCACTTGCACCCTCAAATGCCAGCCTGACTGTCCTTGTCTCTGGTAACAGGTTGATGTCAGTGGAGGAGGAGCTGAAGAAGGACCACGCGGAGATGCAAGCAGCTGTAGACTCCAAACAGAAGATCATTGATGCCCAGGTGTGGGGCTCTGGCCTTTTGGTCAGCCACGGGTGTTAAAGGACCTGGGATAAGGAGGGGGTGACTTTGGTTTCTTCACATCCTCAGTCATACCCCACTGCAGAAGCTAAGGAGGATAGGAGATCAGGATCTCTGCTCCAAGAAGTCAGACTTGAGGGTCTCGGTGGACCACAAGCTCACTAGGACAGGCTATGAAAAGGGCGGGGCAACTCCTCCCCTGCAGGGGCAGCTTGGTGGGTATTGCCTTTCACCAGGGTTCCTGACCAAAGAGTGGAAACTGTTGGGAGGGGCATGGGAAAGGCTGGGGGTGACAGCAGGCTTGGGAGAGAGGGAGCAAAGGAGCTCTTGTTCAGAGCTGTGGCTTCCCAACTGCATTGAGAGGGGAGACAGTTAAGAGACTGGCCTCCAGTCTCCTTCACCCGGGTCTGCGCCCTTTTCCTCTCCAGGCCCAGGGCTTGCTCAGTCTGGAAACTGCACAGGCTGACTGGTAGCTGTGGCCTCTGTGTTGTACATGCCAGTGCACACACACGTGAACAAGCTTGTGCCCGACACTGCTGGGGCTGCTCCCTTTGGGTGAGAAGCAGGTGATGAGGTAGAGACATGAGGAAGGCGGGCGCAAGGAGGTGTTGGTCCATGATGGCAAGACCGCCTCCTCCCCAGCAGGACCACTGCCACTTCGGTGCCTTTCCCATCCTTCACACGTGGTATCCTCCAGGCCCCCTGCCTTCCCCCTCCCAGCGCTGCTTGTAGGTGGACACAGCTCCAGGGAGATCCCTTTCCGGCACGGACCCCCTTTGGCCCAGGAGGCCATTCCGCGACCCCAGCTGATGCCCTGTTTGCCCACAGGAGAAGCGCATCGCCTCACTGGATGCTGCCAACGCCCGCCTCATGAGCGCCCTGACACAGCTGAAAGAGAGGTACAGCATGCAAGCCCGTAACGGCATCTCCCCCACCAACCCCACCAAATTGCAGATTACTGAGAACGGCGAGTTCAGAAACAGCAGCAGTTGTTAACCTGCCCGAGGAGGGAGGACCATGGTGGCCCAGGGCAGGGTCTCGGCCTGGGGAGGAGCGGCCCCAGCGCAGGGGCAAGAGGCCGAGGCTTGGCGCCTCCCTCCAGCCGCGGTCCAGGAGGCGGCCGCAGAGGGAGCCGCGAGAGACTGACGCAGCGCGCCGGGGCACAGCGGCCCGCTCCCCGAGAAGCGCGTTCGGTGCAGGCCCGAGAGACTGCGGGCTGGGGAGCAGGCACAGGGGCTGCGCAATGTTTCTGTCGGGTGTTGAATTTGGTGTGCGTCACCTTTCCTCCTTGACCTGGCCGAGTGCATGTACCCCCAACCCCTCCCCAGGGAGGGAAATGCCCGGAGAGCTGGAGGGTCGGAGAGCCAGGGGCCTACTCTCGTGGCTTCCCCTCCCCAGGACTGCCAGGCAGCCAGGCCCTGCCCTGTGGGACCTGCCCCTCAGTTCCAGGAGCCGACGGGGCGGTCGGCAGGTGGGGGGTGCGGGGGGGAGGACGGAGCTGCCGGAGCGCCGGGTCCCCCGCCTATCTCTACCCCGAGCACCTGTCCCTGCATGCGCGGGGACCCTTCCCGGCTGTGAGGAACCGAGGAGTCACCTGCCCCCAGACCCTCCGCCTTCCCGCTCCCGCCCTCCGTCCTTCCCTCCCTAACTTGTTCTGTCAGGTGGACCCAGCGAGGACCGCAGCTCTCTTCTGGGCCCTTGCGCCCGTGGGAAGATCCAGGACCTCCCTCACTTGCCACGTGGGCCCAGGCTGATGCTCTGGGGCTCCCCGAAGACAAAGACCTGGGCAGAGCTGGCCCAGGCGGCACTGCGCGGTGCCGGCCCCTCTCCTGGAGCTAGTGTACCCGGGCACGGTGGCCCTGCAGGGAGTGGCCGGCAGGTGCTCCCCCTGAGAGACAGGCTGAACTTTCCTGATGGATGGTTAAAGAAAAGTCTAGCGCCCGCAGGCCCTGAGAAGGTGGATAACTGTGATTTTTTTTCCTTTCACAGTATGCATTAGAAACAAAAGCCCGCTTGCTCGCTTGCTGGAACACAGGGGCCTTTTAAATTGAGCGTGCGCACTGCATGGGAAATAGCGGCCCTGGAGGATGTTAGACTTGCTCCCTCTCCAAGACAGCAGCAGCCTGCACCGCCCCGTGTGTGCGGCGGCCTCTGCCTCAGCCCTCCCAGGCCCAGCCGAGGACCAGGCGCTGCAGACAGGGAGGTGCTCACCCGCGGCTGGGGCCGGTTTTCCTCAGCTCTAGGCTGTTCTGTAGCTTATCGGCCCTCCCCGCCCCCCCTTGCGGGACACAGGTGGGCAGGAGCGTGGGTCTCTCTCGTCCCTCCCTGTTCCCACCCCTGGCCCTGGGGAATCTCAGGCAGGAGCTGGGGCGTTCACCCCGCAGCCAGGAGCCGCCCCATCTGCCTCAGCCGTGGGAAGCTGGGGAGACCCCTTCCTGTCGCTGGGGCTGGAGACGCTCCACCAGGGCCCAGGTTGCCCCAGAGCCCCCCAGGAAGGGGAGCACGGCGGGGGGCTCGGACCACACTGCGCCCCGTCCTGGGGTGAAACCAGTTAGCCCAGAGACCCGCTTGTGGGGAGAGGGCAGGACCCCCAAGGGTCACAGACCTCAGGAAGGCAGGTCATGGGGGCGGAGGCCTTGCCTCACTCCTCTGGCCACAAAGGCAGGGCCTGGCCCCGTGACGTCCTCCTCTGGTTCCCTCTCACCCCCCACCCCCGGCCCCGCCGATGCCTCATTGAGCGACCTCGGACTGAGCGCCTCTTAGCAATACAGGGGGGAAGTTCCCAGGGCCTGGACAGCCGGGCTCAGGAGGCCAGCAGTGGCCGGTGCTGGCGGCCCCTGGCCTGGGTTGGGAGCTCTCAGGCCGAGAGCCTTATTTACTTAGTGCAAAAACTGTAAAAGTGTACAGACTCTTCCCAGATTTTTATCTGAATTGCAAGTCTGACGATTTTTGTAAATGTTCTTGGTGTTTGACTGTAATGTAACTATTTCACCTAATGGTTGTACATAGTCCTTTAGTCCTGGTGCTGCCGAGGGCTGCCCGGGACCGCTGCTCTCCGACGGTTTTTATTTTATTTTTAATCTAGAGAACAGTGCTGGGCAGGAGGCAGAGGTTGTGGATTTGGGTGATGGGGTTTTTCCCTGCCCGTGGCATTTTATCTGTCGGCTGTGCAGCGTGCTCTCTGGGTGGTGGGGACGTGCGACCTGCCTGGGTCACACTGAACCCGCGTCCCTGAGAGAGGAGGAAGGAAGGCATTCCCTGCTCGGGGAGACCCAGGCCCAGCCCTGCTGGAGAAGGCTCTCCCCTCCCCTCTCCTGCCAACACAGGGAGGCCTGACATTTTGCTTAACGTTTATGTTTAGGGTGAAGGAAATGGTCAAACTTCCTGTAAGTGGAGACTCTTTCCGCCTGCCCCGAATGGGGGTGGGGAACCAGGGCCAGAGCTCCAGGCACCCACCCCCACTCCCACCCCGCAGAGCATCTGCCCCAGGGTACACCTCTCCCCCTCCCGCCCCGGCCGTCTGCGGAAGGCAGACCGTCCAGGGAAACAGCCCCTCTTTTCTACACACTCCCCCAAGCCGCCCCCAACCCCCATTCCACCTCCCTGCCCCCCCTTTTGTAAGTATGTGAAAAGGAAAAAATGCAAATGTTGGCGTCTTGGCTGGAGCGCCTCCCTCCAGTTGTGACTCTAACTATGTAATAATGTACAGAGAAAGTTGTTGGTGTTCTAAGACTGTGTGGCTGTGCAATTTCTGTACATTTGCAATTAGAAATATTAAAGATTTATTTAGCTATTTTAAGCCTGACTCGCCTCTCCATTCAGCTGTGTCTCAGGAGCTTTTCCAGGAGTGACTCCTGCATCGTGGCCTGATACTGTTCTTCACCAGCACTCGGTTCACCCTGGTGGCAGTTGTGGTAGGGGAGACCCTGCGTGATCTGGGATTGCCCGTCCTCTTCCGGGCTGGGGTCTCTCCCTCCCCCTCGCTCTGACAAGCGTGGACTTTCTAGGCTCCCAGAGCTTGGCCCCTGCATTTCCCTACAGCAGACACCAGCTCCTGCCAGGCCCCTGAAATCCTACTCCAGGAGGGAAGGAGGTGGTCCAGGGCCACCAGCAGATCATGGCTGAGCTAGACTTAAACCCAAGCCTCTGATACCTGAGAAGCCCTAACTCATGGTCCAGACCCACCTGCAAGGCTGAACCCAGGGCCTCTGTTGGGAACAAGCCAGCGCCTGAGCCCCTTCAGTTGCACCCTGCACAGGGGACAGGGGAGCACTGCAGGAAAAAAAAAAACAAACCCATTTCAGACCGTGCCCTTGTGGGTTCCCATATCCCCTCTCAGCAAGGACTCCCTGCCCTGTTCTCCACCGTGGTTCAGCCAAACCCGTACTCTTCTCGGACCTCCCAGCCAGATGCTCTCCCTGCTCCAAGAGCCAGCCCCCTAGCCCACCGCGGGAAGACGGCGGCAGTGACCCTCTGACCCCACCCCGGCTCACCGCCAGCCAGGCGCCCCAGCTCTCACCTCGCTTCCTTCCCCAAAGCAGCCACGGGAGAGGAGGGGACCCCCATTCCTTCCCGAGGCAGCCCCTGGCCGCCCCTTGCTTTCATCACTCCTAACTCTTCAGGCCCTGCCCCTCCTTCTCACAGCATTTAAAATACCAGGTCTCCACCTGCTCTCCAGGCTGGGTTTTCTACACTCCAGACAACCTTCTTTAAAGTGTACTTACTGCCTGCAGGGACTTGTCATCTCCGCCTCTGGCCTCCCGCCCCTTCCCCAGCCCTCTGTAGCCTGGCTTGCCTTTCCCACCTCCACTGCCTCATTGCCAAACCCGTGGGCCACCTCAGTGCTTCCGCACCACTGACCCTGGTTCCCAAACTGGTCCCTCTGCTGAGGTGATGCCCTGTAAACATAGAATTCAAGGAAACAGCAATGACTGGAACAGAAAAATCATTTCATGTTGACAAGCATTTGTAATGAAGGTACAAAACCCATGAACTTCCATATGTGGATTAAGGAGCATCAAGTAGAAAGCAAAAACCGCTGGAAATGCAAAAGAAAAAATCGACAAAAATACAGTTGCGTCTGAGACTAACACCTCACTGTTATTAGCTTATGATAGATCAAGGAGGCAATAAGAACCCAGAGGTTTTTAATAATTAATAAGGTTTAATAAGCAGGGATACATCAAGCTCTTACCCTGGAGAGAACACACCTTCTTTCACGTATACTTAGAACATCACCCAAAGCTGACTGCATGTATCAAGAAATGAAAAGCTGAAAAAGCTGGCCAAAGAAACAGTTTGGGGGCTTCCCTGGTGGCACAGTGGTTGAGAGTCCGCCTGCCGATGCAGGGGACATGGGTTCGTGCCCCGGTCCGGGAAGATCCCACGTGCCGCGGAGCGGCTGGGCCCGTGAGCCATGGCCGCTGAGCCTGCGCGTCCGGAGCCTGTGCTCTGCAACGGGAGAGGCCACAACAGTGAGAGGCCCGCGTACCGCAAAAAAAAAAAAAAAAGTTTGGCCCACATTCTGTACCTTGAAGCAATAAAACTAGAGATCACTAGAAGACATTTACTTAGTTTTTCTTCTATCAGAAAGTTTAAAAAATAAATATTACATCAGTAGGATTAGGTTTTTAAAAGAAATAATCTTCCAGTTAAGGTATACTGATGACATGCATTTATCTCGTTTCCTTTTCAAGCACCACCGTACTGACAGGACTGAAAAGATGATCACTCATAAGGGCAGAATTAATGGAGGAGGAGTATGTAAGAGAATTCGAAAAGCTTTGGCAGATGGAGGTTGATGAAAGAGCATTGACTAAATTAGCAGAGGGCGAGATGAACCGGAAGTGAGCTGATCAGACTTTGACCTAGTCAAACTTACAAGCTTTTGTACAGCAAAGGAAACCATAAACAAAATGACAAGACAACCTATGGACTGGGAGAAAATATTTGCAAATGATGCAACTGGCAAGGGCTTAATTTCCAAAATATACAAACAGCCCATACAATACAATAAAACAACCCAATCGAAAAATGGGCAAAAGACCCGAATAGACATTTCTCCAAAGAAGACATACAGATGGGCCAACAGGCACATGCAAAGATGCTCAACATCACTAATCATTAGAGAAATGAAAATCAAAACTACAGTGAGCGACCACCTAACACTGGTCAGAAGAGCCATCATGAATGGATAAAGATGTGGTACACGTATGATCCAGCAATCCCACTACTGGGCATATACCCAGAGAAAACCATAATTCAAAAAGACACATGCACCCCAATGTTCATTGCAGCACTATTTACAATAGCCAGGTCATGGAAGCAACCTAAATGCCCATCGACAGACGAATGGATAAAGAAGTTTTGGTACATATATACAATGGGATATTACTCAGCCATAAAAAGGAATGAAATTGGGTCATTTGTTGAGACGTGGGTGAATCTAGAGACTGTCATACAGAGTGAAGTAAGTCAGAAAGAGAAAAATATCGTTTATTAACGCATGTATGTGGAACCTAGAAAAATGGTACAGATGAACTGGTTTGCAGGGCAGAAGTTGAGACACAGATGTAGAGAACAAACATATGGACACCAAGGGGGGAAAGCCGCGGGGGTGTGGGGACGGTGGTGTGATGAATTGGGCGATTGGGATTGACATGTATACACTGATGTGTGTAAAATTGATGACTAATAAGAACTGTTGTATAAAAAAATAAAATTAAAAAATTAAACTAAAAAAAAGATGTGGTACGTATATACGATGGAATACTACTCAGCCATACAGAATGAAATAATGCCATTTGCAGCAACTGTATGGACCTAGAGATTATCATACTATGTGAAGTATGTCAGAGAAAGACAAATACCATATATCACTTTCATGTGGAATCTAAAATATGACACAGAATGAACTTATCTACAAAACAGAAACAGACTCACAGACATAGAGAACAGACTTGTGGTTGCCAAGGGGGGAGGGTGGGGTGGGAGAGGGATAGATTGGGAGTTTGGGGTAGGAATGCAAACTATTTTATACAGAATGGATAAACAACAAGGTCCTACTGTATAGCACAGGGAACTCTATTCAATATCCTGTGATAAACCACAATGGAGCACTTTTCATGCCTAGCGCAGCCATGGCTTGTGGTCCCAAGAAGCACCTGAAGCGCGTAGCAGCTCCAAAGCATTGGACGCTGGATAAACCAACTGGTGGGTTTGCTCCTCGTCCATCTACCGGTCCCCACGAGCTGAGGGAATGTCTCCCACTAATTATTTTCCTAAGAAACAGACTTAAGTATGCCCTAACAGGAGATGAACTAAAGAAAATCTTCATGCAGCATTTCATTAAGATTGGTGGGAAGGTCTGCACTGATATAACCTACCCTGCTGGTTTTATGGACGTCATCAGCATTGACAAGACGAGAGAATTTTTGTCTGATCTATGACACCAAGGATCGCTTTGCTGCTCATCATATTACACCTGAGGAGGTGAAGTATAAGTTGTGCAAAATGAGAAAGATCTTTGTGGGGACAAAAGGAATCCCTCATCTGGTGAACCATGATGTGGTGTGATGAATTGGGCGATTGGCTACACTGATTGGCTCATTGGCTACACTGATCCCCTCATCAAGGTGAATGACACCATTCAGATCGATTTGGAGACTGGCAAGATTACTGATTTCATCAAATTTGACACTGGTAACCTGTGCATGGTGACTGGAGGTGCTAACTGGGAAGAATTGGTGTGATCACCAACAGGGAGAGACATCCTGGTTCCTTTGATGTAGTTCATGTGAAAGATGCCAATGGTAACAGCTTTGCCACCGGGTTCTCCAACATTTTCATTATTGGCAAAGGCAACAAACTGTGGATCTCTCTTCCCCATGGAAAGGGTATCCACCTTACCAGTGCTGAGGAGAGAGACAAGAGACTGGCGGCCAAACAGAGCGGTGGATAAAATGATCTCTAGGCAACGTGAATGGAAGTCTTTGTACTTAATTAAAGACAATACTGCATTAAAAAACCACAATGGAAAAGAACATGAAAAAGAATGTATATATATGTATATATACATGTTTGTATGTATAACTGAATCACTTTGCTGTACAGTAGAAATTAATACAAATTGTAAATCAAATGTAATTCAATAAAATAAATTTTAAAAAAAAAGAAAATGGGGCCTTCCCTGGTGGCGCAGTGGTTGAGAGTCCGCCTGCCGACGCAAGGGATACGGTTCGTGCCCCGGTCTGGGAAGATCCCACATGCCGCGGAGCGGCTGGGCCCGTGAGCTATGGCCGCTGAGCCTGCGCGTCCGGAGCCTGTGCTCCGCAGCGGGAGAGGCCACAGCAGTGAGAGGCCCACATACTGCAAAAAAAGAAAATGGGAGTGAGAGGAAAAAAATCTAGAAGGTCAATCCAGGATATCTAACATCCAACTATTGGGAATTCCTAAAGGAGGGAAAAGAAAAGGAAAGGGGAAAGTGATCAAAGGAATCATAAAAGCATATTTTCCAGAGTTGAAGGAAGAACTCAAGTGTTCAGGATGAAAGAACCCTGCACAATGGATAGAAAAAGAGCCCCTCCAGGGCACAGTGTCATAATTCCCAAACATACCAGAGCTGTGTGGATCCGTGCTGGCATTAGCCAGGAGCCCAGGGGAAGGAAGCAGTGGCTGAGTACATGGGCCTAAGTGAGGAGATAGGAACCATGGCTCTGGAGAGCAGAGAGTCTGGTGTTCCTGAAAATTCCTGGTGGAGAGTCTCAGCGAGAGATCCCGGTAAGAAATGGTCAGGTTACATTGAGACTAATCAGGGTGATCACGTGCTGTTCTCTGGCTACAGTCAAGACTAGTTAATGCCCTACAGGGCTGTAAAACCACAAGCAGTGGGGGTGCCCAAAATCCACACGTGAACACGTAATACACACACTATGGGGGCGCCCAAAATCCACACGTGAACACGTAATACACACACTATGTACACACATACGTAGTGAATGGCAAGTCGAATAAAGATGTATTCCCCCAGGTGATAGAATAATCCTGGGGTGGTCCTCTTAACAATATTCCAGTGGGACACTGGGATGACAAGTTGGGATGACAAGCTGGCCTCCTTCTGCCTTAATTCCAAGTTTGGGTGATTTTTCTGAACACCCCTCGACAATGCAAAGCACAAAGCTTCAGTGACCTGGCAGCAATGTGAGTGACTAAAGCAGGCCCACATCAGAGGACACTCAGACCCAGTGTTGAGAGACAACAGGGAGAGGTGGGGACTGGGGAGAACAGGAGAGCACACACCCTTTCTCCAGGTGTGGCTCCTCCCTGGCCTCAGGGACCATTGCCATGGATTTACGTACCATCCATTCTCTGCTCACCGACTCCCACACTTTTATACCCAGCTCCACTGCTCCCTGAGCCCTTCACAGGGCCTGTGTCCACTTGGCATCAGGTTTGATATGACCCCAAAACCTGTTCCTCCCTTCATTTTCTAACCCACCAAAATGGCTCTGCCATTCTCCCAGTTGCTCGAGCCAAGAGCCAAATGTGACTCCTTGATTCTTGTCCATTAAAAAGAATGGATAACAGCACAGGAAACTGTAAACAAAATGCAAAGACAACCTATGAAATGGGAGAAAATACTTACAAACGATGCAACTGACAAGGGATTAATTTCCAAAATATACATACAAACACCTCATACAACCCAAAAAAAAAACCCAATCAAAAAATGGGCAAAAGACCTAAATAGGCATTTCTCCAAAGAAGACATACAGGCGGCCAACAGACACATGAAAAGATGCTCAACATCACTAATTATTAGAGAAATGCAAATCAAAACTACGAGATATCACCTCATACTGGTCAGAATGGCTATCATCAAAAATGTCTACAGGGCTTCCCTGGTGGTGCAGTGGTTGAGAATCTGCCTGCCAGTGCAGGGGGCACGGGTTCGAGCCCTGGTTTGGGAAGATCCCATGTGCCGCGGAGCAACTAGGCCCGTGAGCCACAACTACTGAGCCTGTGCATCTGGAGCCTGTGCTCCGCAACAAGAGAGGCCGCGATCGTGGGAGGCCCGCGCACCGCGATGAAGAGTGGCCCCCGCTTGCCGCAACTAGAGAAAGCCCTCGCACAGAAATGAAGACCCAACACAGCCAAAAATAAATTTTTTTTAAAAATGTCTACAAATAATAAATGCTGGAGAGGGTGTGGAGCAAAGGGAACCCTCCTACACCGTTGGTGGGAGTGTAAATTGGTGCAGCCACTATGGAGAACAGTATGGAGGTTCCTTAGAAAACTAACAATAGAGTTACCACATAATCCAGCAATCCCACTCCTGGGCATATATACAGAAAAGGCGAAAATTCTAATTCGACAAGATACATGCACCCAATGTTCATAGCAGCACTGTTTACAATAGCCAAGACATGGAAGCAACCTAAATGCCCATAAACATATGAATGGTTAAAGAAGATGTGGTATATATACACAATGTACTATTACTCAGCCGTGAAAAACAATGAAATAATGCTATTTGCAGCAACATGCATGGACCTAGAGATTATCATACTAAGTGAAGTAAGTCAGAGAAAGACAAATATATGATATAATTTTTATGTGGAATCTAAGAAAATGATACAAATGAACTCATTTACAAAACAGAAATAGACTCACAGATACTGAAACTAACTATGGTTACCAAAGGGGAAAGGGGAGTGGGGGAGGGATAAATGAGGAGTTTGGGATTAGCAGATACACACTACTATATATAAAATAGATAAGCAACAAGGACCTACTGTATAGCATGGGGAACTATATTCTATAACTTGTAATAATCTATGACGGAAAAGAATCTGAAAAAGAAATTATACAAATAAATGAATATTATATATATGTATATATATTTTATATGTATGACTGAATCACTTTGCTGTACACCTGAAACTAACACATCACTGTAAATCAACTACAAAAATTTTAAAAAAAGAAAAGATACATGCACCCCAATGTTCATAGCAGCACTATTGACAAAAACCAAGACATGGGAGCCACCTAAGTGGACACCTAAGTGTCCCTCAATGGATGAACGGATAAAGATGATACATATATATATATATATATTTACTGAATAGCATAGGCAACTGTCTTGAATATCTTGTAATAACCAATGATGGAAAAGAATCTGAAAAAGAATGTAGACATATTGTATATACACACACACATACATATAACTGAATCACTTTCTGTACACCTAAAATTAACAGTATTGTAAGTCAATTATAGTTCAATTTTAAAAATCATATTAAAAAAGGATGGATAGATTTGCAATGATGTTCATCATAGATTATGTATGAAAGGCAAGCAGTAGATTGGTATACCCATTCCTTTAAAGAAAATTAAATAAATTACATCACATATAATAAGTTACATAGAAGAACTATGTGGAAGCAAACATATACTATTAATAGTAACTTCCTCAAAGGAATGGTGCTCAGCAGGGTGGAAGGGAGGACCTGCATGTTCTACTTTATATTCCTGTTATTGTTTGAATATTTTACGACCAGCTTTTATTTTGATATGGAGCCGTTTAAGAATAAATAAAACATATCCATATAATAAAACACTACACAGCCATTACATCTGTAGAAGAAGAATAAGTGACATTGAAAGATGTTAATAATACATTAGGTATAAAAGCTGATAACAGAATCATATGTCCAGAAGGATTCTGGCTTAGTTTTTAAAAAATCTATTTGCAAAAAGAGGTCTGGATTAGGAGATAGTAGTGTATGTAAGAGCCAGAGCTTGGGCATAAGGGAGACCTGGGTTTCAGCCTTAAGGGCTGTTGATTTGCCTATGATCTTAGGTAGATTGGGAAAGTCCTCTCAGTCTCAATTTCCTTAACTGTAAAGTAGGGATAACAGTATCTACACTATAGAGAGGTATTCTGTAAGGATTTGCTGAAATAATGCTTGTCACCCCTAAACTTAGCACCGTTACTGACACATAATAGATAAATGCTACCTGCTCTGGGAGCAATAATGATTATTCTAATAAAATCTTCAAATAATAATTATTAGGGATATATACCAAGTTGTTAACAAAACACTGACCTAGAGATAATAAATGGCTTTTTATTCCCCCCTCCCATCTCTGTGCTTAATCAGTATTTTCTAAGTTTCTTTTTTCTGACCATACTTTTGCTTTTGTAATAAAAACATATTTGAAAAATAGAATATTTCAAGCCGATAGCCAACATTATCCTTAAGAGTAAAACATAACAGACATTCCCAATGAGGTAAGAAATGACTTAGATGCAGGACTCTGCTGCGTTTCAAGGCAAAAAGGCAGGAAAGAAACTAACTAAACTATTGAGAAAGAAAAGACAAAAGTTAGGGTCATCTTCTTAGAATTTCCCTGGGAATCAACCAAAAAACGCTCCTGGTTCAGTAAAGTGGCTGAATACACAATAAATACACAAAATTGAAACTGCTTTCCCAGACACCCATTGGTAGCTATTAACAGAGTGGGCCTGTGGGTAGCAGGAGAGGCAGGTGGACAGGAGACCTCAAATCTGGACAACCTGGTGCGGCTGTACACACAGTGTGGATGGTGACCAGCCCCCAAGCCAGGGAAAGAGCCAGTCTCCAGAACATACCCCACAGTGCACCCAAGCCCCGATCTTATTCTCGTGAACAGTACAATTATACTGCACTGTTACTGAATTTGCATTAAAACAGTCGTGTATTCAACATAAATGTTTAACATTTACTGCTATTTTTGTGACTTATGCCACAGCCCTTTACTCCTAAATACTGCAGTGAATATTTACTAAGATTAGAGATATTCTCTTACATAATCACAGTATAGTTACCCACCTCAATTTAACCCTATTACAGACTTTTCTCTCATCTAATATTCACATTCCAACATCCTCAGTAGAACCAGTAACATCCTTTTATACTATTTTTTCCCTCCAGCACAGGATCCAGTCTGGGGTCAGAGACTGCATTCGGCTGTCGTGTCTCTTTAGCCTCGTTTAATCTGGAACATTTCTATGACTGTTCTTTATCTTTTTTTTTTTTTTTTTTTTTTTTTTTGTGTTACGCGGGCCTCTCACTGCTGTGGCCTCTCCCATTGCGGAGCACAGGCTCCGGGCGCGCAGGCTCAGCGGCCATGGCTCACGGGCCCAGCCTCTCCGCGGCATGTGGGAACTTCCCGGACTGGGGCACGAACCCGCGTCCCCTGCATCGGCAGGCGGACTCTCAACCACTGCGCCACCAGGGAAGCCCTGTTCTTTATCTTTTATGACATTGACATTGGACGAATACGACCAACCATTCCTCCCCCAACCCCCACCCACCCTTTTAAATAAAAATAGTTTTGCATTTGTCTGATGTTTCCTTGTGACTAGTTTCTAGTTATTCGTTCTTGGCCAAAATACTGCAGAGAGCATATATTGAGTCCTTCTTAGAGTAATACATCCGGAGGCACATGACACCTGTCTATCCCTCCCTGGTGATGTTAATTTTGATCACCCGATCAGGGTGTGGTCCGATCTCTCCACTGTATAATTACTGGGGTTTGTTTTTTGGTCTTGCTTGCAACTAATATGCAGTCTGTGGGGAGACAGTCTGACATCATACAAATATCCTGCTCATTGCCAAAACGTCCCCCTAGATTGAGCAACCCTTAATGATTCTTGAGTGATCCAGTCTTTACTAGGATGGTTGCAAAGGATGGCTTTCCAGTTCTAGCATTTCTTCCACTTCACTGGTTGACTCAGAATTTTACTGTAGCAAAGGTCCTCCATTCTTCCTATGTATTTGCTTATCTGTTATCAGTGTGGGCTCGTAAATGTCTGTTTTTATGGGCTTATAATTCATTACTCTACTTGATTGTTTTGGTGCTCAAACACTCCCAGATTTGGCCACTGGGAGCCCCTCCAAGCCAGTGCCTGTGTCCTGTGACACACCCTCGATGTGGTTTTTGAACATTCCCTTACTTTCTAGCCTCACGAGATGTCCCAGGCTCATCATGTACCTACCCTGCCCCAGCTCTGGGATTAGTCATTTCTCTGAGGAACTCTGGGGAATGGAATTACAGACCAAGAGCTGAGAGCTGCTAGAATATCCTTCCTTCTTGACCTTTTCAGCAGACAGAGCTAGGAAATAAATGTAGAGTGTGTGTGTGTGTATACAAATATACATTCAGGACTTCCCTGGTGGCACAATGGTTAAGAATCCACCTGCCAGTGCAGGGTTCGGTTCCTGATCGGGGAAGATCCCATATGCCGCAGAGCAACCAAGCCCACGCGCCACAACTACTGAGCCTGCACTCTAGAGCCTGCCAGCCAGAACTACTAAGTGCGCATGCTGCAACTGCTGAGGCCAGCATGCCTAGAGCCCATGCTCTGCAACAAGAGAAGCCCGCACACCACAACGAAGAGTAACCCCCACTCGCCGCAACTAGAGAAAGCCCTCGCGCAGCAGCAAAGACCCAATGCAGCCAAACAAACAAACAAACAAAATACATTCAAACACATATACATGTGCACGTATATATACACATTTTAGAAATCATGAGTTTGCATCTATATCTCCAAATTCATGGAATCTGAAGTTTAACAAGTGTTCTGAGTGATGCCTGCGATCAGAGGAGGGGGAGGGGGAGCTGCTCCCGGACCCCTGCCCCCAGTGGGAGGGGTGCGGGCACAGCCTGTATGGAGGAACGGACAAGCATGCCAACCTGGAGGGCAAATTCCCAGGGAGATTCCTTCCTGGACTGTTGTCTCCACTGGCAGTGAGTCTTGCTTTGCTCTCCATGGTCCACCAAGCCTTAGCATACCAGTCTGCAGAAGTCTCTCCGTAGGTCCTGAATGATGTTGAAGTAACTCAATGATGCTTCTTCAACAAATGGGAGCGTGCTGCTAAGAAGAAGGAGGGACTCTGAAAAGAAGAACTGGGGATTAAAGCATATCATTGCTAAGAGCAAAAAACAGAACACGTGTGCTTAGAAGTCAAAGTCGTGGTCCATGCTAGAACTTCGGCTTGAAGAATTATCTAAGAGTATTGCAAAAGACAAATAATTGGAAATCTGGAGAAATAAACAATCATACTAGCAGAAAAGCAGGCAAAGGATATGAAATGGCAAGTCACAAAGAAGCAATACAAATGGACAGTAAATAGGGGAGAATATGCCCGTTCGAACTAGTAATTAAAGAAAAGCAAATGAGGACAGCAATGAAAATATGTTTTTGGTCTAACAGTGTTTAGGTAATAGAA